GTGAACAATTCTGAATAATGCATGCTGAAACCCTAGATGGTAGCTTCTTTTGTCTTTGAGAATAAATTCAAAATCCGTTTAGCAACTTTTATGTGCAAAGACATATGGAAGAAATAACATCCTTTTCTGTAGTCTCCGCAGCAAAATTAGACTTTGGTCCCATTTTTTTCGTAAAACGTGAAAGTCCGACTCTACTTACGAATTTTATCTAAATAATTACTTGAAAGTTCAATAATGATTTTGTTCTTCACCGTATGGTAACCAAATCAGAACCCTAATTCCTTCAAATAAATAGTGTCTAAAAAAATTTTTTTATTGCAATTCATTTTTAAAGCAGGGTTTAACCTAGTTAACTTACATATATTTGGTGTTGTTGCATAATGAAGATAGCTTTGGATGATAAATAATTTCTCTTCGAGTAGTAGCAATATATATACATAAGTAAGAAAGCATGAGAAAAAGACAAAATGCAAAATTAAAATTTAGAAAAATTGCAACGAAAAAATTTTAAAAAAAAGAAGAAAAAAAAAAGGAGAGAGTGGAAAAACATGCGGATTCAAAATGCTTTCAAACAGACATGTTAGATGAAAGGAACAGAATTATATATTCTCCTCCACTTCTGCCGATTTTTTGCATGTTGGGAATGGAGCTCGATTTTAATTATTTTTTTAAGTCAAGTTATGTTTTAGAATTACATCAATAAATTTGTCTGATCTCATATCAAGCATATGTATATGAATATTTTTGAAACATTTTTCATTGTCCACTATAAGAAAATCTTGCCTGTTATAGTGCATGCTAAAAAAATTACTAAAAGTATAGTATATTTTTATAGTAATCTTGCTTGTAACAGTAAAAAAATATATATAGTATATGGAAAAGCAATAATTTGTGAAAAGGGATTAATAATAGTGATTATTAATCCCTTTTCACAAATAATAGTAATAAATAATAATAGTGATTAGCTCAGAATCGAAAGGATTTCTTTTTTATTCACACATAAATCCTCCTTTTTTATTGTTATGAAAATTAAACAGCATACAAATATAATATGGATAAAAGCTTAACATATGATTTGCTTCAGTTTCCATGCTTACCCTTGCCTCAAAAATTATATCCCAAAAGTCCTGCTACAAAACGTATATACATATTGCTACAAATACATATATTGTAACATACATATTACCACAAAAAGTAACAAAAATAACGAAAAACTATGATAAAATATAAATACAAAGATACAGAGGAAGCGATACATATTTTGTACAAATAAACACAAAAGAAATCTCTTCCTTATTGATGAAAGTGCATATAAGCAATATATCCTTAACGTTCCCATAACAAAATGTGATAAACTATCTCCTTACTTTTAAAATATAACTTTGGAAAGATGTGCAACACCAAACTGACTATTAGAAAGTGAACACCAGAACAGAAAAAAACCTTTCTATGTCTTCTTTCAGAACTAGTCAGTTTAAGAAATTTTGTTATAAAAATATAACAAACTAAATACATACTGAATAAACGCAATTTTATCACATTAAAAAATATTTTAAAGCGTTCATTTGTGCAAATTAGGCTACAACAAATTTTTCCGTTTCAAAAAAGATCAAATTCAAATTCTTCTACATAAAATACAACAGAGAGTTAATTAAAAATTAATCTTAAAATGATAATTTGCATATTACAATAAAACTTATTTATCTCTATCAGTAAATACAACATGACTAGCACAGCAAAAAACATTTTAACAGGTAAGTTAAAAAAAAAAACAGTTTTAAAAAATCATTTTAATTTCATAAAAGATCGGACAAAAAGTGACCTGTAAAAAATTAAACAATCAAAATGTAATTTTAATTTTAAATAACTTATTGATACATGTGAGTAAACATTTTAGTAAATAAATAACAATGCTGAAACTTTTATCACATATTCTAATGAATTTTATGACAATTTGCATATATTTAAACTTAATAGAGAAATTTGTGATTAAATTAATTTGAAGATCTATACATTAAATGAAAATCTTGTAACAAGGCACAAGTTAATAAAAACAATATTAAAAGATGACACATCGAGTGCAAATAATTGTCAATTTCATGAAATTCCATTTAATAAACATTCTTCATGCCTCATTTTCTACAACATAACTTATCTAGAAAACAATAAGATAATAAAACTGTTTAAGAATCTTTTTAACATAAGGCAAAATTAGAAAATTTTGCTACTGGCAAGTGGACAATTGTAGCATTTTTAATAGTGTTTACTTTTCAAAAATTGAAAATTCTAAATAATTTTAAAAAAAACTATTGATGTTAAAAATGTAAGGTATTTCTGTTAAGACATTTCTCAAAACAAAGTTCATTTCCTAATTGAAGAAAGACTTTAAGAAACAAGAGAGAAGTAAAGTAATTTTCGAAATATAATAGTAAAATATTCATAATAATTTTATATTTATTTTTTAAAAAAATGTACCAGAACTGCATTTTTGTAGAAAAAAGTGACATTTGGGTGGCGAGTGACAAAAAACTTTTTAAACTCTATGTTATATTTAGTAGCCCAGTGACTGTTAATTTTGTCCCATACTTTTGAAACTTTAAAATCTTTAACATGCATGGGAAACACACTATTTTATTAACATTCTAGTAACGGTCTAGGAAAAAACTTTGAAGCTCATCTTACAATCCCTTTCACTTTAAGAGTTACAAGCATTTACATGTTATTCATGACCTGTAGGACAAATATTTATGAACCTAGGGTTAAATTATAATTTACTTCAAGCTTTCTTTGCACTAGAAAACAGCAAATTTTGAACCCTAGCACATTAAAAATCAGCTAAAAATTTTAAATTTTTTTAGAATTTACTCTATATTTTATTAAACTATTATTCAAAAAAGATAAATATCTTATCAAATATTAGTTAATCATAGCACTAGAACGATAAAATGAAATGCCTAGTTCCTTTTTTTTAAAGTTTAATTTATATATTTCAGCAACTGTATTTCATGACATGCATTATGAATTCTTTGAAAAATGGAAAACAGAATGGTTGTGACCCACAGATACACATATTCACTCATGTTCTGTGAATGAATGTATAATTAAATTTGATAAAATTTATCATTAACTAGAATACATACATAAAACTTTAATAAGATGAACCAAAGATGAAATGCTTTTATTAATTGTGACGTAAGTAATTAAAGAGTTATCTTAAAATTCAAAATTTGTTCTTTTGTAGTGAATATAAGACAAATAATAAATAATCCTGATGATAAAAAATATCAATAAGTCTTTAAAGATTTTTAAAATGATTAAAGTATTTGTTTCTCTATACTTCAATGTTTATAAAAAATGAAAAATATTGCATAACGCATTTCTTGTAAAATAGCATGAGGAATTAAAAATCATTGAAACTTGAAATGTCATCATACTTTTTTAATATGATGAAGAGAATATATTCTACATTGAATATTTTAAAAATACGAAGTTTTTTCATTCACAACTGAAAAAATATATATATTTTTTAAATGATAATGTTGAAAGTAGAAATAGTTAAATTTTTTTCCAAATATTTATATTAAATATTTAAATTTAAGGAGCATATAAATTAAACCAAAACAAATAATTAACTCAGTTCTAAAAAAAACAAGATGAAAAATTATAAGAATGATTCATAGATAATTCATTCTTTAATGAATTAACAAAAGAAATATCTCATAGCAGCACTATTTATAAAAAAATAACTAAAAATTATGGATTTAATTGTTTAACAACAGGCATTAGAATACCTTGAATGTAAACAAATTAAATTTAATATAGTAAGGGAAAGTTTAAATTTTTAATTTACTTTAAAAAAATATTTATTCATTTATTAAATAGTTTTTTTAGAGAATTCAGTATGCTGTTTATAATTGAGAATTCAATAAGTGCATTTAGCAATATCTATGTTTAGTATGTGATTTGTTAATTTAGTGCTATTAATGAAAATTGATTATGTTATTTTAACAGTTTGTCATATAATTATAAAATAAAGTTTTACTCTTTAACATAAAATATTGAAAAACTAGTTATTTTAATTTTTTTAAAAATACAAAAAAGAAGAATTTTTTCTGCTTTTTAGATTTTATTTATTCAAAAATGATGCAGTAAATAGCTCTAAAATAAATATCATTAAACTAAATTTTAAAAACAATAAGAAAAAAAAGTTTCTTCCATTTGGGAAAGAAACCTATTTCTTCCAGTTTTCTTTTTTCAGAGAGCTTTTCCTAGTGAGGCAGAAACTTGCCATCCCTGATTGTTAACTTTTGTCAGCAAATTTAAAACTTAGTCATAATGTCTCTTAAAAATGTTCAAAATATAATAAACTGCTCATGTTCTGTAGTTTTTAAAGTTAGATAATGTAATTAATTATTGAAAGAGTTCCAAGTTCCTCAAAGCTTATTTTTATCTACTTATTAAATACATTGTTAGCTACAGTCAAAAATATAAATGAGAAATAATTGCTTTTTTTTATTTTGTGTTTTCAGTTTAATTTTAGAATTATTTTCAGTCACCAGAGCAAATATATTTGTATGGTGTATGCTATATAATTGCTATATAATTACATTATTGTAATTTTCAAATTAAATTTTTCATATTACATTAATAAAAATCTATTACAGAAAAATATTAAATTCATCTAAAATATTTTTGTCCTATTTATAATGCAACATGTCAATGAAAATATTATACAATTTAAAGCTAAATAATAGACAATAGCATAATGACAAAAAACCATTATCATTCTATTAATGGTAATATGTTTCAATTAAAAAATATTTTGATTTGAATATTTCATGCTCATTAATATTAAAATTCGTATTGATTCAATAATTAATAAGCAATAAATATTTCTCTTAAGACAACTAATTGATATTACTGCTTCAAATTGTGTTCTGCTAAATAATTATAGCTAAGTAATTAATGTTGAATTACAAGATTTCTATATGTACGAACAATTAAAGAGGTATTAAATTTTTATTTATTATTTAAATGGAGTTTTAATGTAATAAATATACATATTCAAGTGCATTAGTTATTATACTATTACACTTTTGTATCATCTTCACACTCACACACATTGATGCAATTTTGATTAAACTAAAACAAAGTTAAATAAATTTTGATTGGTAATTTGGTTGCTTAGAAGGAATTTTGTGCAAAAAAAAAGAAGGAAAAAGTACAATTGTTTCACAACTTTTAATCAAAAGAGTCAAACAAGCATAACAGGATTTATCTTTTAATTTTTAAAAGATGATACTGGAGTTACATTTAAAATCAATGTGTTAAAAGTATTCTAGAAAAATAGAGGATTCTAAGAAGAAAAAAAAGTTTTTTGATTGGTTTCTAAGAAAAAGTATCTTAAAGTTGGAAATTTTAATAAGACTTATATGGAAACAAGAAAGTTGAAGTGATTTTCAGTTTACTAGGATTTAAAACAGTAAATGGTGATTCTAAATTAATAAATTAAAAGTATTACATTCTTTTAAAAGTGTGATATTTGTTCATGATAATTTAGTTAAGAAATTAATTCCAGAAAATACCTTTACATATAATTAGTAAATTTAATGCCTGCTCAAATATGTTACCTGAAAAAACATTTATAACTCATAAATTAAATAAATAATTATTTTCTTAAAATAAATTTCAAATATATAATCTATTAATGTACAAAGCTGACTAGAAAAAGTACTTTTCACCCATTTTACACATTGTTTTCAACTAGCAGCTTTTCTGTATCTTTACTCTTTTCTTCATGTCCAGCATCCAAACGACCTTTGTTCACTACTGGATTTTGAGAGTATAAATAAGTTGCATACAGTACAATCGCAATCGAAATTACAGTGTAAATGTCTATTGGAATACCAAATATAATCCAACACAAAGTGGCAGTGAATATAATGTCAAGAGCACCTGCAAATGTTTTCAAGATTGAGTTCAACTTTTTCAAGAAAACTGATGTAACAATACCACAGGCTGATCCATTAATCATCACTGCAATAACGAGAGGTTTAAATACTGAAGAGAGTGAATCCTGTGAGAAGGCTGTTTGAGCCTCCCCATTCAGAAGCATTACAATGAAATTACATACAATAGAATCCAGATACATAAAAACATTTTGCATCATCAGGTGGACATCAGCTCCTACGTCTTTCAGCAAATATTCATTGTAAACTCCGGCGAAACAGGAACAAAATACCTAGTGAGCAAAAAGTATAATACTTACAATTCATTGCCAAGTATAATAAGTAACAATGAAAAACTGAATATATAATTTATAATTTAAAAAAGAAATAGTATAATATATTCATATATTCTATACCAAGAAAATAAAATAGACAAGTGTTAAACATTAAAACTAAAAATATCTTCAAAAAATACTGATTCCACTTTTAAGTGCAAAAACAGCTTACTGATCTATGATCTTAGAATATTATGGACATATCACATAATTTTTAAAAAATGATTTATATGTATTGATTAGAAAGAAAAAAAGGATAATCAATCAGTTCATTGCTCTCTTTTTTTTTCTTCTTTTTCAACTGGCCATATTTTTAAAAAAAATCTCAGCTTGACCAAGTTGCTTTTAAAACAATATTTATTATTTTCACCTACTTCGAGCAAAACAAGTCTTTCTTCATTATTGATATACAAAAATTAAGTATTTAATAAGTTTTAATAACACTTAATTGAAATAAATGAAAACGTAAATGGGTATCAAAATACATTTATGACCAGCAAATTATTTCACACACAGATAATAGGAAAATATAATTAAACAATTTCAAGCCATACTTATCTTTAACCTCTAATTTTATTTATTTATTAGTCTATTTAGAAATATAAAAATCTACAAGCATATTTTTTAATTACTTTTTTGGATGAAATCTCCGTTATCAATGAAATCAGACTTTAAAAAGAATCACAACCCTAATGAATATATTTATCAATAAAAATGTATGAAAATATTTTTAAATGAAGATTGATTTTTAAAAAAAATCAATAGACTTAAATCAATATTTTTTTTTAAAAATCAAGCGATTTAAACTGTAATTTTAATCATGATTTAAATCCTAAGAGCCTTGCAACAAACTCTTGATATTATTAAACTTAAAGCTCTATTATTATGGACTAGGAAGGGGAGAAATCACTGTTTAATATATATGACTAAAATAAAATTGAAATGTTGAGTTTTTATTTGCAGATTATATGGAGTTGTAAAGGAATATAAAAGCATATTTAAAGAATAAAGTAGATATTTTTGAATTGTTATTGAAAGCATTAGTTAATAGTCAAATAGAATAGTAAAATGCTATGAAATATATTGGAATTGTTAAGTGAACTGCAATTAAAGGCTTAAAATATTGCCCAACATATTGTTTAAAAAATCTGGTTTAAACAAAAATAAATAAATAAATAAAATAATGTTTTTCTTTCCAACCTTGTTTTCTGTATTCCCTGAAAGCCATTTCTGAGTCAGGTATTCATTAACCTGTCATCTTAAAACTATTTTTTAATCCCTTCAGTATTACATTCTTTTACTTTTTATTTATTTATTTTCTTTTTTTGTTTTTTTGAGTAATTTATTGTACGCATTATTTGTCCACAGATGCGAGCCCTTGTTTAGTGACAAAACAATGGAAGCAAATAAAATGATTAAATTAAAAAGGAATGAGAGAAAAAATAAACATGCAATTACAATTCTTTTTGCACTTTTTGACAAATTATTGGTTATGAATTGAACTTTTTATTGCACAATTATATTTCTTAACAACCCCAAAAGATATTGCACTACAGGCAAGTACTGGAATTTTAATTTGTGAAATATATCTTACCAAATATTTTATTTCTGAAATATTATTGCAGATTATTATGAAAGCATCATAGATAAATGCCATTCATAAACAAATAAAATGTAATTTTGCATTTGGAAAACACTTAAATTGAGATTACAAACTTATTTGAATATGCAAATTTGTTTTAATTTGGTTGTTTTAATTTCTAAACTCGTGAGAAAAAAAACAGTATTAAAAAAATTTTCAAAATTATATAGTGTTATGAATGAGAAAATTGCAGTATCCCAAAATTAATCAATCACTGTAAAACTTAAAATAATCTTACCACAGATATATTGATAACACAGATATAAGATAATTAATGATAATGGTAACATCTTTGTGCATGGTATCATTAATGATAATATTTTTACCTTTGAGTTTTAATCACATAAAATTTTTCTCATTGCTGCACATAAATTTGGCATTAAAGAATGCAGAGAAACTAGATAACATACATAGTGGTCATAAATTTTTCTTAAAAAATTGCTAAATATTTGATAACCTGTTTGACTTAAAACATTTAATGAAATTCGTCTCTATAATGAGTTGAGTGTATAAGTAAGAAAAATTTTTGCATCATTGACAGCATGAGTGCAGCATAGAGGATGTAGGTATTAACTACACATAACTGATTCATTCATTCATTTTGGAGAAATTTTTTTGATGAAATAGCTTAGTTTTATCTGACAAACTAGTTAAACAAGTTTCAATGTAACTTTAAATATACAGATTAATAGACTATTATAAATAACTTAGTTAATGAATAAAAAATATGCAGCAGAGTCATAATTAGCAAAGAGTTAATAGCCTGTGCGACAAGGTATATAAATATACCTAAGATCAAATGTAAATGTTTTAGATTATATTAAACATAACATGAATGCTTCACAAAACAAGTTATTTCCTTCAAAAAGTTTCTTTCAATCGAAAAATAAATCAGCAAAAGTGAAAAATTCATATATATACACGGATATAATTGTGTGAGCTGATGAAAAGATTATATCCAGATTTTTATTAATTTTTTTTTTTTTTTTACCCATTTTCTTTCTTTTTTTTTCCTTTTTCTTCTCTTTTTTCATTGTTCTGAAACTTTTTAAATTTTTTCTCGACATTTCGAACTTATTTTACGAGTCCTATTTACTAACAGCTTATGCCTAATTTCTTAATTTTCTTCGTGATTTTTTCTTTTTGTATTTATTTATCATGCTATATATATATATAAACTTAAACAATAAAAAAATAAACACTCAAAATCATTTGAAATGTTCATATATAAACAAAACTTAATTTTATATGTAAAAAAAAGTTTCAAAATTTTAATTAAAACAATAAAAACATATACAATACAGAATACATTATCAATATATTTTTTCCACAGTTTGAAAAAAAAAATAATAATGTATACACTGACTTGAAATATTCAAAAAATTGGAAATAATTTAAAATACAAAAAAGTAAATAACACCTTTAAAAAGACCAGAAATTTTTTTTAACATCAAGTATAATAATAAATACATCATATCATAATGTCAAAAATACCAAAACAAAAATTAATTTTAAAAAAGAAAAAAAAAACAAGATATGAATTCCTCTATAATACAGATTTGTTTACACATATTTTGCAAAAATGCAAATTATGTGGTTTTCCGCATTTTTCTATTAATTAATTATTATCAAAGAATAGCTTCATAATATAATAGAGGAACAAAACGCTTAGTTTCAAGCTTTTAATTTTAAACAAGATTGTCATGATTGTGACATTCAATTTTAATAAAAATATAACAAAAATAACTAAATAACAAAAGTATAAGTTAAAAAATAGTAGAAGATAACTTCAGGTATATTAAATATCTATGTAATCAAAATAGCACAGAATAAAAATACTGTTTAAGAGAAAAATTTACAGAGGAACTTTTATTAAGTTTATTATGATGTTAGATACAAACTTTCAGATCTTTTTAGTTAATTAAGGATCCCAACATATGATTTTTCCATTCAATAAGATTTCATTTATAAGAATGGGAAATGGTTTTAGATAATAATCTTTTCATGTTATATAGAGAAATATAATACCTGCACTAGAATGAGACAGAAGTAAATAGTAGGATATGTCTCCTTATGAGGTGTTAAAGAGATTTCATCAACAGGAGCAACTGGCTTGGTGTGCATTTGCTTCACAATACATCCAAAAGTCAGGAGAAGTAGGGAGATCCATTGTTTTTTACTCAATTGCTTTTTGAAAAGGACCTACGAAAAAATATCTTAATTGAAAAGTGACTGAATTACATTTTTCTTTTTAACATTTTAGGGAGGTAATTTAATAATTGTGAAGCATTTATACTTATTTTTAATCTTTGTTCTTTGTGCTTATGCTTAGGAAAAAGGATTTTTGTCACTATCATTTAAGTATATATTTAATGGTGCATTAAATCTGTAGGACAAATATTATATTATTGTAGTTCTTTATAGAGTTACTAAAGCACTTTTTATCATGTTATAATGCATATCATATTTGTCTATCAAATTATACCTTTGTAACAATTTTGGGCGTACTGTTAGTACTGTGAAACTGTAAAGTACTAGAAAATCATTAATAAAATCGGCAAAGAATTATAACTTTTGCTTATCAAATCTCAGTATAGCCATAATTTAAGTTGTATGTGAAAAGTGCCAGTTCATATTACTGATTCATATACAGATTCATCAGATTTTGCTTATCACAAAATAATTTAAATTTTAAAAAAAAAAATTTAAAATTTAATATAAAAAGAGTCTATATACAGATAAAATAAATGCCATGCATTACAAAATAATCCATATTCAAATCCTTTATTATTGTTTTATCAGTAAGTTCCTCCTTTTCATCTACAGAAAAGCTATTTACGCAATGCATGTACAATAAAAAACAAAGTTAAATTTTATCTATATACCTATTACTATATGTCTATGTCTAGTAAGCACATGTTTGCAAGTAATTTTAAAAATTTTGCTCTTAAGATAGATACTTCCTTTTCCACAATTCTAAGATTCTATAATTTGCTCAAAAATTAATAAATAAATAATAATACATGAATCAATTTTTTTTAACTTTAATTGATGGACTCAGATTATCAGGATTCAACAGTAAATTTAATTTTTCAATAACAACATATTTAAAAAGCTCTGAAAATACATGAAAAGTTTTTCTCAAACAGAAAGTTGATAGCTGTTAACAAAAATACAAATTGTACATATAAACATGAAACATATACAACAATTGTGTTAATATGTATAATCTGTGGCCATACCCTTACATTTATATTGATCTTTTAAACTATTACACAATTAAAAAAAATAATACTCCTTAAAAAAAAAATTAATGACTAATAACTATTATTGAGCAAATATAATTTCTTTTCGTGAAAAGCAGTTTTAAAACATGTCTGTAACTATTTTCATGTGTTTAAATAATATATAAAGATTACTTATTAATAAACATAATTATGATACCTGAAATACAATTCCAGTAATCACAACTCTGATTTGCATCAACAAGAAGTAAGTGGTTGGATCAAATATGGAGAGATTAATGAAAGTCAAATTGTTATATAAACAATATAAAAAAGCAGGAACAAAGTATAGCAATAACACTGAAATAAAAAATTTTAAATGTATTTTAATAAGCAATTTTAAACTATACATAAAAGCATTCATCATATAATAAATAGAAACCTTAAGACAAGGTAAACATGATAGACAGATAGATATCCAATTTGAATATAAAATACAACATAAATATAAAATATAATAAAATAAAAAATATATAAAATAAATATAAATATAATATAAATAATAGAACACTGATTATCCTAACTTTAGTCACCCAGATGATCAATTATGTGCACTAGAACTCAGCTAATCTGAACCCTATCTTCGACTATTTTTTTAAATTAAAAACTAAGATAGTCAGAATCAAATCTGTGGATTTTTTTTTAGATAATAATGACAAAAAGTTATCAATGAAAGGCATAATGAATAAAAATGAGTCAATTTATTCAGTGATTGATTAGTAATAATTACATAATAATTTCAAACATTTTGATCAGAAATATTAACTATTTCAGTTATATTGTTTTTAAAAAATAAGTATTATTAATACCTTTCACCAGATGATTTGGCTTGCAAATATAAAAATAAATAAAAAATATCTGAATTTCGAATTTTTTTAAAAAGAAAAATTACTATTTTTGCTAATTCAGGTTATAATATTAAATATAATTATTATAATAATTATTAAACTATTTAAATTTAAAACATTCTTACAATATTTTTACACAAAACAATTGTCCTAATTATTTTTAGTTACTTCCAATTCATCCACTTTTTTCCATTTCTCTTAGTTTTGTCCAATGTCTAGAAAAAATAAGTTTCTACCAGAATATCAACCCTGATGTTGAGTAATTACTACAAACTTTTATACTTCCAAGGTGTGAAATTAAACAGTTTTGTTTTTATTTTCTTTTGTAAAAAAAAAAAAAATTTAAGATTTCTCGTGAAACAGTTAAATATTTTTCTATTGAAAATACAGTTTTAAATGCAATTAAAGAACTATAACCAACTTAATTTATTTGAATTCTATTTTTTCCCAGTTTCAGCTAACTGTAAAACAAAAATAATTTACCTTTGGCATTTTTAACAATAGAATCAAAGAACATTCCGATTGAAAACCTAAAAAGAGTGAGAGAAAGAAATTATTCAAAGAATTTTTTTTTCTTTAAAAGCTGTTTTTTCTTCAAACATAAGATAAAAATGTAAATCTGAATAGTAAGATTATAATTTAATATAAACAATAATAACTTGATTGGAATAACCACTATATGGGGACAGGAGACAGACATTGAAGAATTAATTTTATTGACTTAAAAAACAAAAGAAAACTTTAAAATCAAAGCATTCAAGTTATAAAGAAATCTATACTTTTTCTTGTCACAATCAATTTTGCCCATTTGTAATGTCAAAATAATTTGAAATTAATTTAAGAATTTTATAAATTTCAAAGAGTAAAAAAAAAAAAAAAAAAAAAAAAAAAAAAAAAAAAGGAACATTTATAGTAAAACATCAAAATGTAAATTTATAGCTAAATAACAATTGTATCTTCTTTTTTAAAAATTAATAAATAAATAATGACAATGTTAAGAAACTACAAATATTATTACTATCATTTGACCATATTAAAAATTTACAGAACTGAAAAGAAAAGTTAGACTTTTCCTTTAAATTATTTCATATCTGATACAGTAGGGAACCGATTATCCGGAACGGTCGGGACCATCGCTATTCCGGATAACTGATTTTTCCGGTTTTCTGAATCGCTACAAAAAGCCGTTTTTTTTATTGTTAAACCCAACTTAAAAAAAAGTGTTTGAAAATAATCTTAAAAAGAAGAAAAAACGATGAAGTAATACAATAATGATTATTTCCAAAATGATGGTAAGGTAAAAATCTTTCAAAAAAGAAAGAAAAATCCTAAAATCTTATGATCAAAAAAAATTCTTTTTTTAAAAAAATGGCGAGAAAATTTATCGAATTTCGTTCCGGTTTTTTGGTTTTCCGGTTTTCTGATTTCCGGATAACGGGTCCTGTACTGTACAATTGTTTTTAAAATGGAAACTAACAATACATTTTAATAAAGATACTTGGGTGAAGGGTGATTCCACACTAAATTAGCCAATGGTCAAAATGTTATGTCTTTGTAGTTTAATTTATTTTTAGCTCATAGGCTGAATGAACAGAATACATAAAAAATACTAAGTTTCAGATTTTTTTTAAATCGTGTGTCTCCAAGTTATGCATTTTTAGAAATGTGCAAATTTTTGGCAGTTTTATAACTTTTAAACAGTAATAACTAGAGAACTAATTGACCTAGAGAGCTAAAATGTATCATTTTGTTCAGTTTTTAATGGCATTTTATAAAATACATAATATACAGCTAAATTATTATTAAAAAATAATGAAAAATTTAATTTAAATTTTCGAAATTGAAATTTGCTATGCTTCTAAAAAGATATATTTTAACTTCATTTGAATAATTAGTACCAAACTTCAAGATGGTATTTTTATGGGAAAGTAAAAAAAAATATTAAAAAAAATTTCTAACTTAAGAGACAAATCATGCACTGAAAACTATATTACGTGTTATTTAAGAACAATTTTGAAAGAGAGTAACATATTTAGGTTACTACATGATTCAAATCAATGTTTAATTCTAAAATATTTATTCTTTATAATTGCATAGAATACCATTTTAAAATTTTACACAGACTAAAAAAAAAAAAAAAAAAAATTATTAAAAAAAAAAACTAAATAAAAAAAAATTGTCAACAAAAATTAATAAATAACTAAATTCACAGTAATAATTTTTTTGAAGATTTAAATTTAGTTTCCTTTAAAAAAAACATTTTCTGTTCAAATTAGCAAAACCGTGTTACAAATTACAGCTGTTTAAAATTTATAAACAATAAAAGATAAGTGAATTTTCCAAATTGTATAACTTGGAAACGAATGGGGGGGGGGGACTGAAATTTTGTATTTTTAATGTCATGGACAAGTTTCATAAACATGCTGAAAATAACTGAAATCTGAATTTTAAACCGGAAAAAAAAATTTTTTTGGTAAATTTTAAAATACCCAGTTTGAACATGTTATGAGAAGAAGAAAAAAACAAGGAATAATATAAATAAAATCATAGGTTATCCTCGAAAATAAATTATATAAATGATAAAAATGGTGCGGCGAAAGAATGGCCACAAGCAAATATGCAAGTATGAAGTAATCAAAATGGAGATTTTCTTGTCATAACGTTGCAAAATATGTTTGTAGTTGCAAAATTTTTACAAAAGTGGCATAAATCAAAATGCATTAAAAATGCTTAGCAAGGAAAAAAATCAACCTACTAAGAACAGAACAATTCCAAAGAAAGGCTTGATATGTATGCTTCAGAAAATATTAGAATATTTTATATCAGAGACATATTTATTTAGTGAACTAATTATAAAAATACTATTCTGACAATGGCAAAGATAATTTAAAATGATTTTGTACACTTACTCTTGAATGTACATAACAGAAGAAAATACAAGCTTTATGCATTCAATTAACATAACAACTGTTACTGTGCTATAAGCATATGAAGATGTCTTTTCCTTAGTAGCTGTAACAAGAATTCCTAAAAAAATAAATAGCATTATTATTACTTAGCATTATTTTATGCAGTGCAGTTACTAAGTACTTATTACAAAAGATCATTTATGACAGACCTACATACATAATTGAGCATATACAATGGAAAGCCCTTTATTTTGAATGGTTGGAACTTCCACAAGTCCAGAAAATGAATTTTTTCAGATAATAGGTCTTCAAAGTATAAACCAAGATTTAAACGTGCATTATTCAATTAAAAAACAATAAATAAATAAAAAATAAAGGGCAATTTTCAAACATCGTTTTCTTATTGATTTAATGAGCTCTGACGCAAAAATGTTTCGTGTAATCATAGGGATAATTATATATGCGTCAATGAATAGATCACAGGGGTAATCGTGGCTATGAAAAAGTACGCAGAGGGTGACTTGTACCTTTCCTTTCTCGAATAAAGATATGTTTCTCTTTTCTTTTTTTTTTTAAATTTGATATGAATCATCAGCACAGATATACAAAACAAGATAACATAAAAAACAAGCTTCAAATTAAATTACAAAAATAAATAAATCCTATATAATCATAAATCTATAAAGAACATAAATAAGTATTTTTTTTAATAAAAACATATATAATTTAAATGAAAATATAGCAGGCCAACTAGTATTTCTTTCAAATACTATTAATATTCAGCATCATTAATGCTAATATTTTATTCCTCTCACTAAAGTTTTCACTAAGAGAAAGCTGTATAAATGCTTCGGTATCTTAAACAAAAGAAGAGGTTATGGTCATGCTGGCCTGCATAATATAGACAGCTCATATTACGGGAAATGCCCGAGTCTTGCCAAGCTTGATTTCAATGGTCTTTCAAGATATTCTGCTGATAATCTATTTAAATTAGCATGGTGTAGTTAGTGTGAACTATTTAAGGAAAGAAAAATCATTAATACTCTTAACTTGACTTTAGCCTTTTATGGAGAAAAATAAAAATTTCTGAATAAAATAAAAACGTATAATACTCAAATTATAGTTCCAGATAGACATTTCGGCTAATAAAAAAGTATTGGAACATCATTTTAGTGAGTTTCGGCCCCACTACACCCTTGTTTACAATCAATTTCTTGTCTGAAAAAAATAATTTCTTCTTTTTCGAAAAAAGAAAAGAGATTTGTTTATTTTGGTTGTTAAAAATTGTCAAAAAATAGACATTTCCGGAAAAAAAACGTCTGAATATCAGGCTTTCCCCTGTATAGTCATATTTCAACTTAATTCATCAGGACTAAAAATTTTATTCATTCATTTAGGCATCCTTTTTAATATCGAGATACAAAACAAAACAATTTACTATTTACTTAATGGAACACCCTTAATAAAGAGCTCAACAAAAATATCCCAAATTAAAAACTGAACACTTTTGATACAGCAGCTAAAAATACACAAAATAGAATAGAAAATACAATAATAGAAAGTCTGTTAATCTTACGAAGAGAAGAAAATACTGTGCAATAATTCAAAGCATTGGAAAAAGTAAGTTTAATTAGGAATTTCATTATCAATTTTGGCACCAGAATAACTATCATAGGTTCCAATAAATTAATAATTTAATTTCAGTTGCACATGTAAATAGTCTGTCAATTGATTCAATTAATCCCAATGGTAATAACTTTATTTTTAATGAGATATAGAATCTATAAAAAATGATTTCTTAAAAATTTGAAATGATGAGCCTGAAAATCCTACGTTTTTAAAATTTTTCGGCTGTATTTTTAGAAGCTTTGGTCGGAGGTAGTTTCATCAAGCATTAAAAAAAAATTTTTGGACACAATCAAATCTTTTTCACCTAAACTAGCAAAATAAGTTTTTTTTCCAATTGTAGAAATAATTAGTAAATATCGGATTTAATATTATTCACTAAATAGTGGTTTTTCTCAAATTTATAAGGTAAAAGAGAAAATTTTGATGCACAAAAATCACACAAAATTTGGTAAATATGTGTCTTCAAAATCCACAATATCAAATATTGTTGACTGAAAATCTTTATGAATAGACCTTATTTCTAAATATATATTTACATGTGTTTAAATATTTTTCGTAAAAATTAATTTTTCTAATGTAAAGCTTATTTTAAAAGAAAATTTGAGTCCCAAACAATACTAATGAGTTAATTTTTAACTTTTAATACTATTACTATTCAATGAAATTAAAGAAATTCTATTAAATACACAGATATGTACATATTTAAGAAAAATATTCTTAAACTTGGTCGATACATAACTAATTAAATTTCTCAGTTATAATTTATATATGCAATCACATTAAGTTTCATGTTTGCTTTATTAACATGTCTGTCTATAATGCTTGATGTCTCCCACCATACAGAAGTTACTCAAAAAGAATTTGCTGAATATTATTTTACTCAATTAATTTTATATAGTATAAGGTAGATTAACGAAAAAAACAAAGCCTTAGCAACAAAAAAAAAATCAATTCGGGAGAGATTCCCATATTGTGATCTGTGGCAAAAAAATAATAATCTAATCTTGGTGATTTCCGGGTATGGACTACAAGAAACTAAAAAAAAATTTTTTAAAAAAACATAACAGAAAGGCACCAACTAGAAAAGTATCACTCTTAGCCATCCCAGGGCAAATATCATTATGTTTTTTATTTTAAAATTTGCAAGTTTAAAATCTATTTGGCACCTAAGCGATTGTAGTTGGTGTAATATCCTCTCAATTTGCTCATTTCAGAAATGCAACACATTCTATGAAACCATTATATATTTTTATGAAACCATTTATATTAAATTTGCATTTGGGTCCCCTCTTATTTAGGTGGGGGTTTTTTTTTATGTATCTCAAAAAACAGGTAAAATGACTTTAGAATATATTTTTCAAAAATTTAAAATCTATATAAAAAATAATAGGAAAACGAAAAATTTTATGTTCAGTTAAAGCCTCAAGGTACAGTACCCAATTTAAGGAGCGCCAAATTCTATACTTTAACCATTTTTCTTAATACTAATAAATGTTAATAGTAATGCATAAATGCAAACCTTGATTAACAAATAAAGCTATATATGCGAAGAACACTACAGCGCTCAGCTTTGAAGGGAAAAGCTCAGCAACATTCGAAAATCGAGACATTTTGAACAAAGTTTTTGCAATTCAACAATCAATAATAACAACTTAATTAGAAACAGTGTCAACTAAAAATTTTCTAGCATTTAATTTTTCTATTTCATGAAGCTCTTTTGAAGACGTGACAGAAGCATTAACAATAATCGTCAAATTTTCAGTCTACCAAACAGAAAGATTACATCAAAACATAATCCATCCGATGTATTTTCTACATTTAATGATGCTGCTCTTTGAAAAACATCGTTCATAACTTGGCCATCAAGTATCATAACAAGTTCGAAAAGTTTAAAGAGGTACTAAACATTTTTTGAACCCAAAAGTTGAAAAAATTCGGTGGTGATCCTTTAGTTTTCTTCACTTTCAATGTTTAGATTTAATAAGGATCATATCCGGCTGCTCAATTCTGCTCTACATGTATTTCTTTTTTGCTGCATTGATGCCATGGAAAAGTAAAACCATAAAAAAAATGATTTATTAATTTTCTTTTTTAATTCATTTATTTCTTAATTTTAAATAGTGTGATATCATGAATTCAAATAAAATATTACCATCATTAAAAAAAAATTTAAAAATAATCCTGTTTCAATAATTATTTAAAACTGTGAAAATTATCTGGCAATCTCTCCCCGACCAAGAAGGGAAACAAGAACATTACTTTCAGAAATTTTCAAAACAAGATTATGAGTGAAGATAATTAATATCGAGTACAAAGTCATTAGTAAGTTGTTTTTGGTACCTGTGATTAATTTAACAGTATTGAAATTTATTTGTTGTTTAAATGGTTATGAAAATATTAAAATGCTAAGCAATCAATAAGTACCGTGACGTTTTGTATTGATCATCAAAAAATGACTTTCCTATAACTATTCATTAAATTGAAAAAACTTTAATTAATTCTAATTGCAAAACCAGTTATTTCTCCTTTTACACCCCGACACCTTTAATAAGGTGATATTTTTCTGTAAATTAACCCGATACTATTCTTTTTAATTTTTAAAATAACAATGAAATCCCTTTTGTTCATTGAAAATTATTTTTGAACTATTTAATGACTTATTTATATTCTTTATCAAACTAGATTCTTAGATAATGCTTTTAAAAATCTTCCAGTTATTTTCATTGAAATTGTTTAATTTAACCTTATAAAATATTTCTAAGCATATTATTGTGACATATTAATATTTTTAATGTACTTTTAAATTACTTCCACTGACTAAATGAAGATTGAAAGCATATTATTGCTAAAATTAAGGTCTAGAGATTTTTCATAATTTAAAAATTCAGTTTAAATCATAGTTGTAAAAATTAATTATATGCTAAAAATAGTTTTAATTTACTTACCTATTTTTGATCTATGAAAATAGTCTATAATAAATTCTAATTGCAAATCCTGGTTTAAAGACACCTTTGAACTAAACAGCTGTTATATCTGTTTCAATGATGCCAAAGAAGAATTTGCCTAACTATTATTCAGATCAATGGTTGTAGGTGCTACTGATATTGCGATAATAGGTATTAGGTGCTGTGATAATTGCCACGTTTTGACAACTTCCATGCAATGACACACGGAATAAATTTTAAGGAAACATTAGAGAATGAGGTTAACTTAAAAAGTTAATTTAATATTTAATTCACCCTCTGATAAGGCAAGGCTATATATTTTTCTTTCATTTATTCCATGTGAAACAACAGGTGAATTTCATTCAATGCCTTGGTAAATTCAGTTCGCATAAACAGGTAACCATATGGCTCTTTCCCCTTAACAAATACCTAGTTTACAATTAAAGATACTGTCATAAATGATTATTTCACATTGCTATTGTGTCACAGAATCATTATTGATCCAAATTTTTTTCCTAATGTTTTACCTTTAATTTCCTTAAGCATGTTTTGAAATAGAGCCCTCCTTATTTTATATAAAATCAATGAATGGGTGCTGCTGTCATATCATAGGTTATTATGAAAATTATTGCAAATGAGAACGAAGAGTACTTATTAGTTATTGGGCATGGAAACTAAGTTTGCCTACACGGAAGAACAACGCCAGATTCTTTTTTATGCAGGTCATACATTACCAAAAATACGCGTTGGTGCATTAAATACTACAATATTGTAATCATTAACAATAAAAATTCTGGAATTATTGTATTCTCTCCGAGTAATATCAGGGATCTGTTCAGACATTTAGTGAAAGGTCCAGTTTTTGTAAAATTGTGAAAAAAATACTCATAATTTGTGAATATAAAGTAAGCGTTAACTCAGATTCTTTCAACCAGGGTCCTGTTTTTGTGAATTTGTGCAAATAGGGTCCGGTTATTGCAAAAAACCTTTACAAGGAGTTTTTAAATTGTAAATAGATACAAGATTATGCTCAACCCTGTAAAATTATAATCTAAAAAAATTTAATTTTCAAAAATAAACAGCAATTGCTGTCACTAAAGTAGAGATGCAACATACAAATATTTGGTATTTATCCTATAATACTCATTTGGGAAGAATAATGGAAACAAAACCACTCACATTTTTAATAATTTCAATTCACATATTTTAAATAACACAACTTAGTTATGTATCACTTCTAATGTGTTAGATATTAAGTGAAATTAAACAATTCTTAAATTTATAATTTTTTTTTTTTTAAAAATTGACAGAACTTAATTTTTATTTGCATAATATTTTATCAATTAATTTTATGAAAAAATATATGTTGCTTAATTCTTTATTTACAGAAAAAAAATTATTATTTAATATCAAAAAGAATGTACACACGATGTTTGTAGAAGTATAAATATTTTCTTAGAATACTACATTTGGAATTTATAATTTTTTTTGACTTCAAAGAGGTTAAGGTGCATAATATAAATGAAATTAGATCAAACTTAGCCTTAGAATTAAAGCAAAAAAACATAATTAACAAAATATTAAAGCAATATACGTTTATTGCCAGTAGATTTGAAAATATCTATAATAGCTGAACACTCAGCATCAGTCAATTTTTCTGATCCATTTACGATAACGCGTAAATGTCTATCGAGTGTCTCTTGTTTCATTCTCGTTCGCAACTCCTTGTAAAAGAGATTAATTTTCGAGAATAACCTTTCAACAGAAGCTGTTGACGATAGTATAATAACTGACAATGTTAATAGTTTTAATAAATTAGGAATTAGAATTTTAATAATTTAGTTTGTTTACATTGGTCTTTCTTTTTTTTCCCCTGGGAAGGGTTTATTTGATTAACAAAACAATAATGAAGATAAACAAATTTTTGAAGGGTCCGATTAAAAGATAAATTATTTTGTGAAGGGTCCGATTTTAAGTTATAATATTTCGTGAAGGGTCCGTTTCGATGAAAAGATATTTTGTGAAGGGTCCGTTAACAGACCCAAATTTCTTCTAAATAGACCCCTGAACATTCCATTGCTTCTAATCCCTGACACTTCAGTTGATAATTTATCTTTTCATCTTGGGAAGGAACTTCACTTTCTTCATCTAAATAATTGGCTTTGCATTTTTGCTAAGTTGTTCTTTGTAATGTGTGAAAAATATAAACAGTGTCGGCCAGTTTTTCTGCATCTACATGCATTCCTGCATGTTTTCTTATTTAAGTTTATGAGTATGATGAGGGAAATCATTGCTTCCCCGTCATTAGCCGTATGATTGATAGTGGTATATATAAATGTTCATTTAGGCCAATATTGAATGAATAAAACAATAACAGTTGAGTTTCCAGGAAATAATGTACAAATCATTATTGTAAATTTAGATTTTATTAAGTATAATTTGAATCAGATAGTGGCCATATCTTGAAAATAAGAAATCCCTTAAAGGGATGAAATAATAATACTCTCTATTGAGAGATCATAAAGCCAGAACAACATTTCTGACCGTTAGAAAATTAAGACTGGGAGGCCCCTAAGGGGGTCCCAGCCTCACCAATTTAGAAATTCAAAGTGAATATATTTATTCTCAACGGACAGAGAAAGTATGGGTAGGAGATCCAAAATTTTGGCGATTTATCATAATATATCATAGCCAAAAACAAAGCCAACTAGCATATCCACATGGGTTTAAAAGAACACCTTGGCGATCACGAGTCGCCAACAAATTTATGTGAATTATTATAACCATGCAACCGAAACATTTAGCCGTTGGAAAATTAGAATCAAAAGTTATAAATAGTTTTTGTTTTCGATTAGAGGCGACAGTGAATTTATATGTCTGCATAATAATGAAATAAAAAGAAAGTATCCGTTACATTGATCTGGAAGAGAAGAAATAAATATTTTATGTTCGCTTAAAAAGATTAAGTTTTTGATTTATTTTAAAAGTAATTCTTCCATTAATAAAAATAAGTTTAAGTAATTAAGGATATTTTAAAAGATAGAAAATAAATATGTGTATGCCAATTCTGGCATCACAATGAGATATATTATAGATGAGATTTTGTAGCTGTATCACTATCAGCTATTTTGAGGACGAAACCTAATGAAGACTGTATCCAATCCTGTTGCAAAGGGCCTTTTTCAGTACCAGAACATTTTTGCAACAGGTGTTAACTACTCTTGGAATTCAGTTTGGTATCATTTGTATAGTGGATTATTATTATCATTAGATTATTAGACAGATTAACCTCATATCAATGGTAACAAACATTCAGCTGCGTATTGAACAGTGTGACAAAAAAAAAATGGAGTACCCAGAATAACTTTCGATCTAATGATCGGATCTTAACCTTTTAGGACTCATTCTTAATGGTTCGAGGAGATGACTTCAAATATGCTACTTATTCAGAGCAGACGATATTTTAAGTTACAATTTTAGGCACAAAAACGCACTTTCTCTAAATAAACTTACCTTTTTTTTTGGAAAAGATTCGGATTTCTGACCCTTAAAATATAGGGGGTAGTGGCAATCTGGGAAATATAGTCCCCATGGTTTGGTCAGTAGAGTAGTCCAAAATTTTGACTATCCAATGTTAGTTTTATTTTTTGCATATTTTGCCATATCTTAAGAATTTTTTTAGCAAATTGAAAAAAATTTACACTCAATTATAAAATATGTTTATTCAAAGATTATTCCATAAATAAAATAAATTTTAGTAAACATTTATTATTTTTATATATTTAATAATAGTCGAGAAAATTTTGAATTGTATGGTATACAATTTTTCTCGTGTTTTTAAAATATTAAATTTTACATAGTAAAATACAAAATTTGAACAAAGTCGGTTAAATAGTTCTTGCGAAATCAAGTTTTAAATATACAACTTTCTTAAATTTCACTTTCTCTGGAACTTTTCAACCAATTTTTCTCAAATTTTGTATTTTACCATGAAAAATTATATACTTTAAAATGACGTGAAAAAATTGTATACCTTACAATTTCAAATTTTTTCTACTATTATTTAGAAAAATAATTTAAAAAAAAGAATAAAATTTACAAAAAGTGTTTTTTACATGGAATTATTTTTGGATGAGCAAATTTTGTAATTGTGTGCAAAAAATTGTCAATTCACTTAAAAAAAATTCGAGATATGCCGAAATACACAGAAAGGAAAATTAACATTTAGGGGTCAAAACTTAGGAGCATTCTCCTGACCAAGCCATTCGAACCATATTTCCCAGACTGCAGCTACCCCCTAATTTTAAGGGGTCTGAAGCCCAAATCCGTCGGAAAAAAAAGTTTTTTTTTTTTTTTTTAAAGAAAAAGTATGTTTTT